TTTTATTAATTTACTCATCCATATCATTAGAATGCTGGAATTATGAGCCAGTAAAACGTCCAAATATAAATGAGGTAGTCTTATCGCTCAAAAAATTAGTTTCACTCGAAATACATGAGGTTATAACTAAGATAAGTTTTGAAGATTATAATAAAGGAAGTACTTCATTTGTAAATACCGAATCCGATCTTAAATCTGATGAATCAAGTGAAAAATTTATAGATGATAATGATTTGATATTATTAGATGAATTCAACCAATTTAAGATTATAGAATCTGAATTTACAAACAATTCAAGCTTGCAAAAACAAAAGCCTTCTCTATTTAAAACGATAAGTAATCCGACTTTTCAAGTTGAAAATTTATCAAGAAGTTCATTAGATTCATTGGAATCAATATATAATAATACAATGAATAATATTATCGATTATGTAATTAAAAAACATGATAAAGGTTACACTTTTAATCAAATTGAAGATATTATCAAAAAGCCATTGTTGCGATTAAATCAGACTATAATAAATCTTTTAAACTGGCTCATCAAAAATCAAAATAAACTGCAATATATATGGTTACTTGGTTTTCTTTATTATCACAATATTGATATAGTTGAAGATAGTTATAAAGCATTTGAATTATTTTTAAAAGCAGCAAAATATAATTATTCAATTGCACAAGTTTATCTTGCTAAATGCTATTATGAAGGATATGGAACTGAAAAAAGTTATAAATTAGCTTTTGAGTATTATCAAAAATCAGTAGAGAATGGAAGTATTATTGGGCAATTTTATTTAGGACATTGTTATGCATTTGGCATAGGAGTACAGAAAAATAAAGATAAGTCAATAAATTGGTATAAAAAAGCAACTAATAATGGTAATATGATTGCAAGACTCTACTTAGCAAATTGTTATAAATTAGGTGATTTAGTTAAAAAGATGAAACCAAAGCTTTTGAATATTATATTACTGTATATTAGCAAGGAAAGAAATTTCTGGTGCACAATATCAACTTGGAAATTGTTATTATAATAGGATTGGAACAGAAATAGATAAGGATAAAGCTTATTATTGGTATAATAAAGCAGCATGCAATAGGAATATTGTTGCAAAATATACTTTAGAGAAAAATTATAATAAAAAAATTAATCTTAAAAAGAAAAAAAATGAAAATCTTTATAAAGTAATATATTTTGAAGGATTAAGACGAATTGGAATATATAGTATTACTAAACAAAATTATAAAAAAGCATATAATTATTTTCACAAAGCAGCGGAAAATGGAAATATAATTGCACAATATAATTTAGGATTTTGCTTTGAAAAAGGTAGAGGTATAAAAAAAAGTGATAGAAGAACTTTCAAATTATTTAAAGAATCAGCTGAACAAGGATACTTATATGCACTATATCAACTTGGGAATTGTTATGAATGTGGAATTGGAACTGAAAAAGATGAAGTTAAAGCTTTTGAATTATTTAAAATCGTAGCTGAAAAAGTTTTTGTTAATAAATTAGCTTTTTGTTATGAAAATGGAATTGGAACTGAAAAAGGTGAAGTTAAAGCTTTTGATTTATATAAAATCGCAGCTGAAAAAGATTATGTTAAAGCCCAAAATGATTTAGTATTTTTGTTATTATAACAATGATTTGCTTTAGAATTTTGTTGAATATTGTTTATAAAGATGCATCTCATCTTATATGTATTTTGATAGAATGCAATAGTCAACATAATAGAAAACTGAATCAATACGGCAATTAGTGCATTTCGTGAAATTTGAATCATACTGGTTCTATAAATAAAGACACTATTGTAGAACCAGTACATTCCGAGTATGTACAAATTTGAACTGTATTGGACTGGGAGAAATTATTAAAGGATTGCGGTGCAATTTGCAAAATCACCAGAATTTCTAAAATTTATATTAAGTAATTTTTGATTCATTTGTATTTTTACCATAATTAAATTTAAATAAAATTAAGTTAAAAATAAAGGAACTACTACATAAAATTAAAAATAATTTAAATGAAAATCATAATTTATTTTAAAAAATATCTCGACCTCTACATTCAATGTTAACTTTCCAAAAAATAATATATTGTTAGTACCTTGCTTGATAAATCATTACAAACAATATGAAGCTCTATATACAGTACATTTTGCTCAAATTCAAAGAAGTACCGATCTGCACAGAAAGGTACGAGAATTCGAAAGATTATTACTGCGGTACGATCTGCATAATCATCAATGAAAAAATTTTATGTATTTCTTATCTAGTGACATATTGTTCATTATTTTTATTCAATGATATTTTTGTTAAATTAAATTCAATAGAATTCAATTAATAAGAAAGGTTTGCTACATAATATACAAAAACATTTTATTTTAATAATTTGGGAGGTAAGCTATTAAAATCACGTTAAGGATCATATGATTCATTATGCTCGTAACTCGATTTTAATAGCAAATCCCCCATTTGTAAAAAAAAAAATAATAATGAAGACTACTGTAAGTAAGCAATAATTTTCCCATTAAATAAAATACGTTATATGATCGTCTTGTGAAAGAACGTACTTTCGTCCCGATTATAGGACCAGTACGGAACGGAACAAATTTCACAAAATGCTATATAAAATAATATAACAATATTAAAACATTATCTATTGTGAAGCTAAAAAAATAAAAAAGAGCAAATGTTAAAGATCCCACCTTAAAGATGAGAAACGGCAATTTAATAAAGAATTGAAAAAAACAAAAGTATTATAAGAAATGCGATGAATTTAACGAACCTAATCGGAATTTATGTTACACAAAGCTTTAAATTCGATTCGAATCTTTTTTTATATTTACTATTAAAATAAACTCAAATTTCTAAAAGATTCACACACCAATATTGAGCTTATTTTTCTTCTTTTTTTTGGTTGGGAACTATTCTTAAGAACCGTTGCAAAGTAACTACGTTCATCTTTAAGAATATTCCTTCTTAAAAATCAATATTTACAAAAAATTTTAGATTCTTGATTGAATTTTTTTTTTTTACAAAACGAAATATCTTAACGTAACTTTGTTCTTAAACTGTATATTTTTGCTGTTTGAAGGTAAATTGACGTTTCAATAATGCAGTGAATCATTTTGAAGTGTACATATTAGCATACATCATTATAATTGCCGAGGGTTTCCAAAAAAAAATTAAATCGCGCAAATCAAATCAAATTTCTGCAAATATGCGAAATCCACCCAACAGAAAAAAATACTAATTCTTAAAATAAACAAAGAACTTGCACAGATGAATGATAATGAATTGCTGTTGATTTATCAAAGTATCCTACAACCATCTAATGATAGAAAGGTATCCAAACTTAATCTGATCGTTATGTAACGATAAATATCTCCAAATTTTTATAGTTATCTGACATAGTTTTGATTAATTACACTGTGTAACACCCAAATAATTTATCCTTGAAATAAAATAGAAAACTCCTATGTAGAGGTTGTAACCGGTTAAAACGTTAACATGTTAAAGATTTTATTTAACCGGTTAAAATAGATGTATTTAATTCCGGCCGAAATTCAATTTCCGGCCAAATTTATAGTACTTTCCTATGTTAATTTTAACCGGTTAATTAACCGGTTAAAAAATACGTTGACCGGTTATTAACCGGTCAAAGAATTGTTGGTCGGTTCCATTATTATTTTATTCCATCTTATATGGGTAATAATATTTGCTGCTAAATTAATTAGATTCTGACTCATATGCATAAACTCATAATGTATTAAGAACTCTTTTAAAATCTGACCAGCTGAACCACCTTCGAATTTACTACATTTCTTCTTTTAAACCATCATTTGATTCTCCAATTAAACTTTACTTCTTCCGAAAGTTTCATAATCCTTCTCGACGTCCTTTTTAAATGTTAAAATAAGAATAATCCATTCGCATTTCTTGCTCTGGACTTGTAAATTCTCACTATATTCATGCTTCGTCTAAGATGTTCTTCCATTATTTACAACTCTTTAAAAGTTCTGTTTCAAGCTCGAAAATTTTATAATATTATAATATTACAAATGTGTTTTGACATTATATCATAACAATAAATTTAGTTCACTTTATTACGAAATAATAATTGTATTTGTAAAATATTAAAATGAAGAATTGATAGGTTTGGTACCTATTATAACTTATTATCTAATACAAGGCCAGTGTGGAGTACAAATAAATTGTTTTATAAGAAAAAAGAATTGTAAATCAATATAAATATTTGGTGATTAAACATTTCTACAAAAGCAATAATTACATTATATTTGTTTATATTTGAGAGAATATGTGACTAGGTATTAACTACTCAATTAATATGCATATATTGATCTATTTTTACAATTCTATCTTGGTCATTATTTTGTTAGTTCTAGCATCTCCTAAGTTTTATTTAATGACTGAAAAATAGAACAAAAAAATTCTTAAAACGAAACGCTTTATAATCAACTAGGGATGTTAAGCGGTCCTTACTATTTAAAAGATTACTAATAAAGCACTATTGTTGAATGAAAATATGCATAACGCACCAGCTACTAATCTACTTTTTTTTAGAATATATTGTTAATAGATTCATAATAAAACTGATTCACTAGAATTTATAGAATCTATTCTAGAGTAAGCCACATATAATTCTAATAACAAGCTTCATCTGCGTTCAATACACTTGAGAACAACGTCTTAACATATTTGGTTCTAATAAAATGTATATTGGTACATGAATTCACAGTTTGTTTGGGCACAGTAAATTTGTGGCAAACAGCATCTTTTTCGGCTAACTTTATTTAGACATATTACCAGAATTCTATCGGTCCCTAGGTTTCAAAACAGACTTATATTCCTGCGGTGTTCTATATGACTACATGAAGGTGCCCATAACGTCAAATACACTTCCTGACCTCTAACCCTAGCGAACAGCTCATGACTTCTCACATAATCCGACCTCCCATGGTTCAATAAAGTTGGAACAATTCTTGTCTTTGGATCGGTTAAATAATGGCGATCTTTGCTATTTAAATAATAATTTTTTTTTTTGGAAATTTTCAATAGTCATTCACATATATGGGTTTACATAGCACAACATTTTACAAGAGCTACTTTTTTTTAGGGTAAAACTATTTATTCTATTATACATTTAATTACTTTGATTTATATTTTCAGAAAATGAAGAAATTTATCGTTAAAGAATGGGCTGAGCTTATTTCAGTCCCTATTACCTTAGATGAACAATCTCAACAAGTCTTTGAGCATGCTGACTTGCCCGAGGTGAACGATGAACTATCAGTGACATTACGAATTAAACTTCAGAGTCATTCTTCCAGTTGGGCTATTATTTTTCACAAGGGTATCATTTCTTTTTTTATTATTAGAATTTTATTTACTTGGTCAAAGATACAATAAAAAACATTTAGGTACCGAACCGTTTATCCGAACTCCTAGGCTCGTGTTGTTACCAAATAAATCCTCATTACATGCTCGGTTCACTGGCAACTGGACTAATAATGCAGGAATTTATGAGCTCGGTGATGGACTTTCGTTGAACAAATGGTACCATATTGCTTATACGCTTTCTGATTCCAAAAAAAGATTAGACATCTACATTGACGGACAATGGTTCGGATTCTATGGTATCCAGAACGTTACAACGGAAAATGTTGTCTTCAATGAAGGACCATTATATATCGGACGTTCTTTCGACAATGGATTTAATGGTTAAATTTGGTATGACTCAATATAGCAATAAAGCTTAGATAACAAAAATATTAAAATTAATAAACATTTTTTTGAATAGTAATTTTCGCTATTTTAATTGGCGTTTACGTGCCGAAGAAGTGAAGGAAGATTTTATTGTAAGTTATTTTATATTCGTTTAGTAAACATGCACCTAAGCTTACTCTGATAACTTTATCTAAATAATGAATTACAGAATAAATTAATTGAAAATGGGTCGAAGGTCGCTCTTGTTCATGTACCTACTAGAAAATATTTAACTACTAAAGGGATTAAATATCCAATAGGTCAAGCTATGGTATTTACCTAATTTAATTTTTTTTATTAGTTATATTTGAATTTTAACATTGTAAGCTTTATTTATAAAACTTGCAAAGGCTGTTTGTAATGGTCGGGAAATAGATTTGAAAAATGATGTTTTTACTGTTATTGAAGCTCATGGGACGAGTGTTAACGCGGGAAGCCCGGTACCATTTAATACAACTATTGGATTTAAGCATCAAGCGACAAAGGCATTTTTACATTCTCATAATTTTAGTTGTGGATGTACATCGATTACAAATCATTTGCAGGGTATGATTGAAATTTATTATATACGTAATCATTATGCATTATATAATAAAATTAAAAATATTTTAGTGACCATCTGGGATGGTAGAGATGGTAACGATGACTGGGTCATTCGACGTTATGGTTCTAAAGATAACTCGGGTTATTTGTCGAATGGTGATATAATTAGCCTACACCATGTACTCAATGATCGATCTCTTTATAGTCATCCCGTATTATTGGATGATGGAACTCAAGAAGTTTCTTGTCATGGAAATGGAAATGTTGAAAATAATAAGGTACTTACTTTACAGTTTAACTTAATATATAATAAACATTAAAAAGAAATATCATAAATTCCTTTTTTTTTTAGTGGCGCATTGAATTAATTGATGATTCGAAAATTTAAACTCTATACCAACTATATTCCTAAATTTTTCAAACGTCGTATAATATTTTATTGTACATGGCATATTATTTATAACAAACAAAAAATAAAGATTACCAGAGATCATTTGACAAAAACAAATTAGATAAATTTTAACGCGTTATAGATATTTTTTTGCACAAAAATAGAGTAGGCTAATATTCGCACTACAAAAAAGTATTATAAGTCGAATCCTTAAAAATGAATTATCCTGCGATAAATTATCCCAGTTTATTATAAAATTGAAGGATTAATTTTGTTGAGAAATGTTACATTATTTAGTTTTTGTTTCTGAAGACGAATTGGATGGATTTTACGGTACAATTAATCGACCTAACTAATCTCATTTTGTCAAAAGCCGAAAATAATTTTCAGTTTCGAAGGATTTCGATCGAATCAAAACTAACTCATTTAGCGAATTTAGAATGAAGTTCAAATTATTGGCTTTATTGCAATAAAGTTTCAGTTATTAACATTTATTCAAATACTTATTAATAAGAATTATAATTTCGTAATTTAATTATTCATTACTTTTTTTTTATTTACTTAATGTCAGGTAATTTGAATTAAAACATTTCAGATATAAGAATGATTTGGTTTAGATTCTAAATTTCTTGAAAATTGTATTTGTAGCAGAACGAACTGTTGATATTAATGCAGTTTTACAATCCCGTAAGGTTTTCCAAAAAGTATTCAAACGACGAGACAATCGCCAAAGAGACAAGAGCCCAATAACGAAGTATCAAATTTAATATATAAATATTAATTGAAAAGTAATTAAACATGTGAACTCATTTAATTGTGATTGAAGTGCACATAATCTTTTCCGAATGATCCAATCATCGCAGAAGAAAAATTAAGGATTTACGGAAGAGCTCTTTAACTAATTTCATATTAAATAAAACACGGCGTTACTTACCACTTCTTAAATTTTATATGAAAGGTATTCGAGGATCTATCCCGGTGGTTCATATCAAATTCTTATATTCTGATCTAAAAATATTCTTTATTTTCTTTTTTTTTTAAAATAAAAAGGAATGTGAACTGAACACTAGATCCAATCAATGGTGAACATTTGCAGTTTGTTTAGCATTGCCTGTAGATGGTAAAGTACATCAGAGGTTATGGTGTCCTAATTTTCCAGTGGATTCTAAGTTCCAGAGGATAATGTATTTAATTAATGCGGAAAAAGTTCAAGGAGTTTTTCAGATTATTATTAAAATTATCATCATTAAATATTTATTCTGTGATTCGGCTGAAGCAAGACATTCATCTCATGGTGAAGCTTCAAATCGTTTTGGGTAGACTATATAAATATTGTTCGGTGATTTCGATAGTTACGTTAACCGACTCGGGATGATAATGAAGAAAATATACCTTTTTTAATATGTAAGGTATGGTGAATTTATGATTTAATAAAATATAAGATCATGAGTCCTAGTTGCGGTATAGTTTTAGACATTTATTCAAGACTATTTGAAATCTAACAAAGGTATTTTAGTTAGTCTTTATAAAATATATTCTCAAGCTGCGCTGTAAAACAATAACTTTGAAATAATAATTTTATTTTTAATTATAATCTTAAGAAAATATTTTGACCTATTGAAATGTCAAATGGTATATATATATATTTGTTGATTTATTAATGATTAAATTATTATTTAACATTTGAATTGAGATATCTTTTTGGTTACCGGATTTCCATCTCACATTTTCATTACCATCTGAACGTATACATTGATTTAACGAATTTGTCATATTTTAAATCACAGAATAAAATCAAGAAAGATAAAGAGAGAAACAACTGATCTTTTCCATAAAGAATCTAATTGAGGAAATATATGAACCAAAAGTTAAATAAGCTCTAACGTAAAAAGCTAAGAATGTATTTTTGTAGTGATTCAATCACTTTCAAACCCATCTTCAGGAAATTTATTACTAAAACAAGATCCTAATAGCGAGTTTAGTTATGTTTCGCCAAACTTAATTAATGTAACCGTCTAAATAGATGTAAACTTTATTGTTTCGCGCAAATGTATGTGAATATGACTCAATGAATCATGATTTAAAAATCACGTACAAAAAATGTACAGTATATAAGCACGTATAACCATCTTCTCTTTCGTAAACAAAAAAAAATATATATATTTCTTTCTTTTAGCAACATCAAATCTTTTGCAAAATTAAAAAAAATATTTGCATAATAAAATTTATCAAAAAACAAAAATGAATAAAGGTAGAGTTTACAAAAATGAGAGTGGAAGTGACTATAAGTAGAAGTACCTTCCTGTGAAAGTCACCTTCATTCCTTTAAAAAATTTTGATAAAGTTCTACCGTTTTTGACGGAGGAACGGTTGTCTTCTTTTGTAAAAATCAAAAATATGTTTCATTTCTTTGATTCACCTCTGAAATACTATTTTTAAAATATATTTATAGTTTGCGGAATGCTCCGTATACATAGATGGTGTGATATAAGGTCTAACTTTTATTAATATGTAGAATTGGGTCAGAAGCATAATTGAACTTCCAATCGTACATATAAAGAAAAAAAGGAAAAAGGTGATTATAATTAATATAAATAATTTTAATTGATAAATTTAATCAATTCTTAATAAATGTGAACTTCATATTAGTTTTGCCCACATCCATTTCAAAAACCACATTAAGGGAAGACAATTTGATGGACCATAAGGACCCATTAAATTTAAAGAATCATTACAACATAGTTTGATAACAAAAGTCCGTTACATTGATTTTATCAGTTCAAACAAATTATTCTATAATATTATATTATTAATATAACCAAGTATAACGATACTTCTATCGTATTGGACATGTGATTAGACGTTAATGAATTATTAGATTTGTAAAATTTTAACCGATACAGTTTATATAAATCATTTTGATTAAAAATAAAACATTTTGATCTAGTAAAACAAATTTTAGTATTTTGAAAACATAATATTTAAAATAAAAAAATTTATATAAATAACTTTACAATGCCTTAGAACTGTTAGTGTGAAATAATCTGTAACAGGAATAAATATCAGTCAAATATATAATCCTGATGGTGAAATGTCTCCGTAAGTATAGAATGAATGTCGTTAAAATGATTGTGCCTGAAACTAATTGCTGGTGAGAAGAACTGGATTCATTTGTAAAAGTTCTATCCCTAAAATTCAAAAATATATAAGAAAACATGTAAACTTATTCATAATTTTTCTATATTGTCTGATTGTAAAGGGAATATTAACATTCATTAACGAAATCTTTTAACTTTCAAATTAATCAATTAAATTCTATCAAATATTTTTTTAGAACTTGTTAACGACAAATAATTATAAAATTAGAATATAGAAAATTTTAACAAATAAAAAAGAAAGGAAAAAAAATAAAATAAAAAGTGAATTCAATATTCTACTGATGGTTTGTATTTCTACATAGCCATGTATTCTCGTTAATTTTATTCCAAGTATTGACAGATTTCGAATAATTGTCTTTTTCATACTGTAGTTAAAAAAAAAAGTATATAATTAATTCACATTTCGATAGAATAGAAAAAATATTTTCTTTAATGCTTAAAAAAACGAGGCGTAGCAATTTATTGTTTATTATTTAGACAAGACACAACTATTGTTATCGTTACATTCACATTTAATGATAATTTGACAATTGATGATGAATTAAACACGATATAGCGTTTAAGTTACAAAGTGAGTACATTTGAGAGTTCCCTTGTTGTCAGTCAAAATAATTTAGTTGTAATTATTTTTTAAATGCAAGGCAAGGAGTTTTTTTTCTTGGAATTTCATTAAATTCATCAAAATTTCGTTCAACTTGTAACTAGTAAAAAGAAATTGTACTAAATCATGATTTACTTTATCGCTTAACACATAGTTTAATATTGTATATTCCATATGGAGTAGATTCTCCTATAATTCAATATTCTTATCTTTGTTTTAATTTATATAATAATCTGACTTTCAGTTATTTAAACAAACTTATTTTCCAATACAACACAAAAATTCTGATTTCAAGTGA